AACAACAAGTAAATAAACAAATACATACCCCCAAGGGGTTTACAAGTTTCCAAGGCTTGAGCCTGGTTACACAAAACGGTTATTCAAAACCACACACATACAACCCTTGACTTACACACAGAGTCACAGCAAAATGAGAGTTTCGTACTCTCAACACACATGTCCTCGCCTTTAGTTAGACGGCATCACCACATCTTTTCCTACACAAAAATCCGGTAAGATGAACATAAAGCCTAGTAGGAAACCCTCAACAAAGTATATACATTTTATACAAGTCTCAAGAGATGAAATGCACATGCCATGCTATGCTCCTTTTTGAAGATAAATAACATTTTCATCTTTTGAAAACCATCATGCTCAATGATGTCATGCAATTTCAATTGTTCAAAACTTAACAGTTTATTTCAATGGCGGTAAATATGACTCTGGTAATCCCTAGGTCGGTGTCTGCAAGTAGACTATACAAGTACTACCAATTTGTCATTTTTACCAGTATTAACCGGAAGGCTCGACACCTATCCGCGAGGATTTTCAGTCTTTCACCTCGGACTCTTAGGCCAACTTATTCAATATCATCAACATCACCTGTCAAGACTTACCAACGTATTTACCCCAAAACCATTTCATGAAAACTTGTTTCTCAACATTCTTTTCTCAATGCAAGTTTTCAAATCAACTTTTAAAGTTTAATGTAATCAAATGAATTGTTATGCCAATAACATAAGATGAATATAAATATTTTTATTCCAATTCATCATCCAAGGAATAACACAATTCCCTCTTCTCAAGTATCCTCAACAATTAGTTATTTCAAGACTATTTCAACGTTTTGAACAATAATTTCCAAAATGAACAATAATTCTCACATTCCCTGAAATTCATCATTTATATAAATAAAAATAAGAAATTTTCCAAACATTCATTTATTTTGACACACAAAATAAATACAACAATATCATTCATGCATTTTCAGTCTCTTTTAAAAAATATCCCCAAATTTTAGGTTTTCTTACCAAAACTATACAACTGAAATTATTTGAAAGAAAACTTTCCAAAATCATCTTTTCTTCAATCAACCAAGATCAAAACCCATAAGATCATTTTAAAAGAACAAGAGACAAACCCACTTTCACAAATACTCAACTTCTTGAATCAATAATCAATTTTCAAAGCTATCGAAAGATGATTTCGAAAATTATGTAGATCTTGCAAATATATATATATATAACTCTAAGAAAATCCCTACCTCAAGTTTTGAAGAAGAAACGAGATGAAACCCCCAAAATTAACGATGTCGAAACTTGATCTTCACCGAACACAACGAAACCCTCAAGAAGTTAACCAACTTTGATGAAGAACTTATGACAGAACTCTAATGGATCTTGAGAAATCAAGATTTTGATCCAATTTGGCGTAGGGAAATGTAGAGAAAAGGGAGAGGAAAGAGTTTTTAGAGAGAGAGATATACAAAAGTGATCTAAAATATCAGATTCACGAACAGATATAACATGGTCCGCTCAAGCGTAGAATGCCCCGCTCGAGTGTCAAATACACTAACCCAATACTTTTGCAGACAAGTCAAACTTCTGAAACTAAACATTCTCCACTTCAGCGCATAAATGGTCGCTCGAGCGAACAAGCAACTTCGAATGCATTTTGCATTTTTATTTTGGGGGCGCTGCTCCTCAACCCTACCAGGGCACTGCCCTAGGACCCGTCAAGAGGCGTTGCCGCTTGGACGCCCACTAGCTGACCAGGCAGCTCGACCCCCGCCAGGGCCCTGCCCTTGGACCCGCCAAGGGGCGTCGCCCCTTGGACCCTCGCGAGTTGACCGGGCAGCTCGACCCGCGACATACTCAGCGAAGTGACAAAATTGGGATCGCTACAAGACCCATATATTATTTTAGTAATGTTGAACAAAATTATTAAATTTTATACAATATTAAAAAAAATTCTCAGATATTATAAAAATATTTAAACATTGATCAAATACTTAAAAAGAAATCATCTCTCTAAAATTAATGTTATTATAGATAATAACTTTATAATTTTACATACAATTTATTTCACACTACATAAATAATTTAAAGTTTGTCATTTGAACTATCATATTTATTGTTGGAACGTTTTTATTTTTTTATAAAGAGTTAAAATAAATTAACTTCTTTATTTTTTAAACAAAATGAACTCCTTGGATCCATGAAACAATCCTTGAATATTACATAAATTTGTAACTGGATCATGCTTTACTCTATAATTTGAATATGTTTTCAATACTCTATGTTTTGCTCTATAACGTGAGAGAATCTTAAGCCTTTCGTATTCGGTTCATCAATATATAAATCTATAATAATTATAAAAAAATTAAAAATTAACATATTATATCTTATATGTGTTATTAAACCCTAACTTAGATCAATAAACGTCTTTAAATAATAAATGAAAATTTAATCTGTTGTAAAAAAAGAATCATTGCTTTTTTGTCCATTTTTCAGCATCGTTTCTCTTTCATCAATGCTACCTAGAATCACCCAATACCACAACAACTTAGGAAACATGATTTTATTTTTTATTTTTATTTTTGTAAACATATTTGTGTATTAAATTTTTTTAAAGAAAAATAAAAATAATAACATTTCATATTTATAATTAAAAAAATGACTTATAAAAATTACCAAATGCTATCTCATAAATATATTTTTTAAAAAAATTATTTTTATCTTTTCACAATCATCTATTATTCTTAAATTTTATTTTTTTATCTTTGAATCTTTTAATTTCTAGTCTATGGATTTTTAAAAAAAGGGGTCAATATTTCTCACCTTATTAACAAAACTTTTAAAAATAAATATAAAAGTAAAAAAATATCTAATCACGTTACAATGAAAATAAATTAAAATTAATTAATAGGGAATGAAAGATAAAAAAATTATTTAAGAATAATAAACAATTTAAATAATTTGTCATTTCTTACATCTAATTAGAATGGAATTTTACTTGAAGAAAGAAATTATTTGAAAATAATAAAATACTCAAATAATTTGTTATTTCTTACATCTAAAATCTATATCTCCATCTTTGTTTCTCTCATTTAAATTATTTTTATTAAATTATATTTTGAAATTAATTCAAACAAGAAACATGCATATTCTTTCTTACTTTCATTAATGGTTTTTTTTTTTTTAACTTACAAAAGTTCAAAAACTTATAGCAGGGAAAAAAATACTAAGTCAAAGAATTACAAATAAAATTTTGAAAAATAAAATGATAGTTTAATATATAAGTAAATTACACTTCCCTTGATGTTATGAATAGTATTTAAAGGGTATTATGGTCAGTTGCACAACTAAGTTAACAACGTTTGGGCTAAATTAATGGGAGAGGAGAATCTTGACAATTTCAGAAAAAGTAAGAGAGGTCAATGTAATTTCAAAAATCATAAGGGAGATCCCTATAATTGTCAGAAACCTCATAGGAGGTAACCGTAATTTACCCTAAAATTTATAAACTAAGACATTTGTCCTAGTGGTTGTGCAACACCATTTGTAGTGCGAGGTTGCATCATTTGTAGTGTGAGGTTGTAGATTCAATTCCTATAGAGAGGAGTTTGACACCCTTTGTGATAGTTTATATATTCGTCATTATGAGAGTTATATGTATTTACTAAATGAAGTGAATTCATTTCCAATTTTCAAAAAAAAAAAAAAAATGTAATGTAAACAGAAAACAAAAAACGAAAGCATTAAGAAGAAAACCAAAAACGAAAGTATCACTAAGATTCAAAATCTATCAAGTCCAATTAAAAATATGAGAGGCACATTGTAAAATGAGGCAAGTGAAACATATGACAAAAAGGATTTTCTGAACTATCCGTTTAGTTTATAAGTAATTATCGGTTTAGCCAGAAGCATGAATCTATAATTAATCACCATCCTTTTGCTTTCCATAATCATGTTTTCTAGTCATACCAGAAAAGTTATTTGTAGTAGTGAAGCTAAAGGCATATATAATAATTAATCTCTATTACCGACTGCTTCGATTAAATTCCGCTCTCTGCATTCTTTGGTGGATTCTCTACAATGCTCAACCCATCTGCATTTTACTTAATGTTTGTGTGCGAGAGAGAGAGAGAGAAAAAAACCAAAACATTGTCCATGTATCAGTTTCCTTTTGAAATAAAATAAGAATAACCCAGAAAGAATGGTGTTTAAAACCACTGTCAGAAGTAGACAATGTGAAAATGGTTTATCATTCCGAAGCAGCTGCCTTGAACTATGGTGATGATTCACTTGACTATCTATGGAGGAGAAAATTATCAAATAGAACTGAGAAGAAACACAAAATTAAGTTATACTTAGATGAGTAGGACCATCAGAAGCCCAAGCGAACCCTCAGTTTAGAACACTGAGCCATATGATCCGAAGGATCTAATCAATGGGTAATATCTTACAAGAGTGTGTCATGGAAGTAGCATGGAGGCTACTACACAATGACTCCATACTCAGCTCAAATTTGTAGGCCTTGCTCCTAATCTAGGCAGGCATCGATGCCCTAAGGGCATAACGTTATGGGCTTCAAGTACGTAGAGTGAAGCTTTTAGGCCATAGGCATCATTTGCTTTAATCTCCACTTGGGGAATAACATAGCTCAACAAATAAAGGGAGTGATAATGGAGGCACACATGTCCTCATATTGTAGGTTTATGTCTTTCAAACGAAGGTAGGCACATGGAGGCTCCTAATGATGTGGCAATGTCCCAAAACATGTCATGAGGATAGTAAACGTCAGTGTACAAGGCTCCACTTACAATAGGGTATAGGAGACGTAGGAGGTAGGCGACATTTCCACCATTTTTTAGGACAAGCTGATTTTTGTGACTTAGGCTTGCATCATAGGGCTGGGAGTGGATAGCACTTGCCATCACTCTAAGTCGTGACCTCTACATGCCATTGAGGATAGTATTACAATTTTATTCATTTAGTTAATTTTTTTGTAAATTCTTATCTATCCATCAAGCATAAACAAATGTCATCCATGCAAAAACAGAAGAAGGTCATAAGGCAACTTGGAACTTGCGGGATCTTAGAAATGACTCCATGGTTTACGACCCCATCAATATTTTCAAGAGTGTTGGCTACTTCAACTGCAGGTAAAAGCAATGGTCTTCTAAGAAAATATCATACAACATGGACAAAAACATAGGAAATTAAGGCGATCACCATGATAGTCATATCATACCAAGGTTTAGTATTGGCAACGTAAATATAACATCAAGAACAGTATGCCCTTCTCTAGTGATTAGTGGGAAGTCGCCTCCCATTGGACCTGCATGGCCTATAGATGGTCTTCTACATACATGTAATTATGCGATTGCAGTCATAATTACGAAAGTTATTTAAGCATTGTTTGATGTAGCTTATAGGGGCTGTTTTATGTGCCAGAGTGTTACTAACTTTTGCTTACACCTTATGAGACAAAAATAGCTAAATTAAGCTAAGAAAAACTGACTATTGAAAAGCTTAGGAAGGGGTTTAGCTTCTACTTTCAAATTATCAACCTTAAACTTGTAAGAAGTTGCACCAAATAGGCTCTTATTATTCTACATATGAGAAAAGGAATTGTCATTGTGATGACATTATGCCATATTATCGTAATGAGAATACCTCCGCATCACCTAAACATAGGTTTTCAATCTCTTCTACAGTTTCCATCCAGTTGAACTGACACATGAATTTTAAAATGTCAATTAAGTCAATTAACCCTTATTTTGGTAAATTATTTCCAGCAATTTATGCCAATAATGCATGTGACAGCTTACAGATTTAATTAAAACTGGAATTGAACCTTTTAGACCACTTTTGTATTGTTTCTCTGTGACAATGAATACAAGTTTCTCAGCAGCGTTGAGTGTATTCTGTGAGGGAAAAGAAAGACAATAAGTTTTGATCAAGAAATCAAAAATGATTTGGAAATAACATAACTTGAGTCCAACAAATAACAATATTTTGACTCACCTTCTCTTGAATTACAGATTCCTTCCCTTGCAATCTCTGACGCCCAATTACAGAAATAATTGTTCTTTCTTCAATAATATCAGCATCGTTGAATGCAAAATTAATCTAAAAAATATCAAGTTAAAGGACAAGTGCAATAGTATAAAGTTTACGAAAAAGCATACAAGTGATCAATGAATTCATGGAGTCATTTAATAGGACCAGTCTAGAAAACCTTCTGAAAAGAAATTTATCAAATTCAAGTGGGAATTTGAACACCCTTTTCATTTCCCTTGAGATTTTCTCTAAATTGGTCTTTATATATGTTACTTTTTAAATAAAGTAACACACAGATTCACATTTTATTTATTTTTTTTGTCTGCTTTCAAATTAGGATACAAAGAGAGTTGTCTAAAGCATGTAAATACTCACAAACACTAGTTAAAATGCAACCTAGCTATTGGATACTTATAAATCGTGCACACTTGAGAAGTATCTTGGTAGTGATCCAATGGAATTCCTGCCTTCGCTGCTTCATTGGCACCACCAACAGATCTGCATGACACCAACAACAATTAAACTTACTTTGTGATTGAAAACAAACAAGTCTAATAAACAGGCTTTTAACTTGCACCAAGTCAAGAGAATGACTGATAATCATCGACATGTTCTATCTAGAATGAGTAGAAAAACAAAGGTGCAGAATTACACAAGAATTGCATGTTGCCTTGAACCTCTAGAAACCAGAAAAAAGAAGAGAATATACTAAAGAATTCCACTCTTTTTCTTATTTTTTTATTTTTTTTTATTTTTTTAATTTCTAGAGATTTGAGGCAGTGTGTGATATGTAGTGCGAGATTTTGGTTTGTCTTTATTTTTTTCTTTTCTTTTCTTGGAGGACTCCTTGTTCTTCCATTCTCTGTGGTACTTTTCTTCTTTTCTAATAACTCCTTTTTTTCCGATAAAAAAAAAATAGAATATAACCAGATGCAATACCATCAATTGCCAAGATATGCTCAGCTAATTAAGCTTCTCACATTATTAGGAATTATCTTATTATTCAATTGAATTGGTCAAGATAGTAGGCAACTTATTTGATAGCGGATAAAAGGGAAGTATAGAACACGAAGTTGCCGACCCAAATATTATATAGTCGTGCATGAAGCAAGGCCAGATCCTAATCCAACCACCATGCCACTTTTAATGAATATATCCACCTACAAAAGAACACCGAATAGGAGAAGATACAGATTAGTAGCCCTTTACCTGCTCCCCACATAATTGTAGATAATCAAGAGAAGAGTGAAATGGGATTGACAACGCTCCATTTGTTTGGGCTTTTTGTATTTTCTGGTGTTTGGTGCAATAGAAAATAAAAATCTAATGAAAAATAAGTCTTTTTGAGTAGAAAATATTTTCTGCTTTTAAAAGGTGGAAAATATTTTCCAGATTAAACTCATACCAATATCACTATACTACCACCACCACACACAACCATCACCATGGCCACCACTACCATCACTGTCACTACCACCCCATCTGTAGTGACCCTCATTCCCCGCCTTAACTTTGTGCATGAGCATCTCTATAATCTTGTTTTGCTAAGCTTGCATCAGTGAATTCTGACTTGTTTTACCTAGAATAAGATTCTTGTCTTGGTTTGTACTTATGTGAATTTGCTTGGTAGTCTTGTTCCTTTCCTAGTAAGTCTAGCCGAGGTCACCTTGAGCCTAGAACCACCTTGGAACCACTTTGGTTGACCTCTACCTTCGTCCTAGCATATTGGCCGAGATGTCATTATCTAGGCCGAGGTGTGTATCACTAAGGCCGAGATGTGTATCATCTAGGCCGAGATGTTATCCTTGAACCCAAGTGATCATGTTCCTGGATTGGTACGACCTAGACCGAGGTGTGGCACATCTAGGCGAAGGTGTGGCACAGCTAGGCCAGGTGTTGTCCTTTCTAGCCGAGGTCATTGTTCCCTTACTTGCCGACGCCTTGTTCTTAGCCGACGTCATTACTTGCCGGAGTGCCCTTGCCGTCTAGCTTGTTGAGTACACTTTGTCATAGTCTTGTCTTTTCACTCAGTCACCTTTTTTAGGAGAACCAACCCGGTGGTGCCACATGTCCCAGCTGAGTGTTAGGTCAGCCAGCAGACCTAAGAATGTATCATTTGCTATATGTCTTTGTTCTTGAGGAGGAACCAGACGAGAGAACCTATCATTTTGTATCATATCTTTGCCTTTTAGAGAGAGAAGCTCTAGGAGGAAGAAGAAGTTTTAGAGTGAGAGAGTAGATCTTCGAGCTTGATTCCTAGAGATCAAAGCGTTAGATTCGTGTATTGAGGTTAGGTTCTTAACCTACTCTTATTATTCTTTATGTTGATCTAATCGCATTGCATGATCTAGCGTGTTTCATGAACCATGCATTGCTTTGAAGTTCGGTTTTAGAAAGAGAAAGTGATATTCATGCGTTCTTGAAGAAAACCATGTTTTGATCCGAAAGTTTGTATCAAGATGCATGTTTTCGTGTTTGTTTTCATATGATCTTCAAGTATGGGTACCAAGGTCCATGTTTTCGAACTCATAGCACGAAATCTCAGATTTTGTAATAACAAGTTATGATTTAAGCATGCATGTTTTTCATCTTCTCCATCTTCATGTTCTTCATGTTCCTCAAAGGGAAACCTAGATTTTCCTGACTTCGCTTTTGAATGTAGCCGTCGGGACCACACCTCGGCGAGAAGGTGTGGGACCTCGGCCAAGACCTGGTTAGTAGCCAGCATGTCTTCTCAACGTGTAAAACAGTGTTTTAACCCCAGCATGTTTTCCCGAGGTCATCTGTATGCATGTAGGACTTGCTTTGAGAAGTGCATTCAGTAGACTTTGCCATGTGTTTGTAGGCCTTGGATCCTCGCTTGAAACCCCCACACCTGAAGAACTATGTGAGCGGTATTTTTAATAAAGCTATGTTATAAAGTTTTGATAAAGCTTTGCTTTGCCTTGTTTTGAAAAGTATTTGACCAAGCATGAATGATTATCCCTATTTTGTATATCAAGTATTATCTTGTTTTGATGACATTCTTGGAAAGTCCTTAGTGCCAAGGGACTATAATGCAATTGCACCCTTGTCTTGAAAGTCCTTAGTGCCAGGGGACTATAATGCAACTGCACCCTTGTCTTGAACGTCCTTAGTGCCAGGGGACTATAATGCAACTGCACCCTTGTCTTGCCACCGACGGTCTATGAACGGGTGGGTTTGTTTGTCCGGAATGTCATCATTTGGTATTACTTAGATGTTATTAACATCCAAGGATCTTGAAAGGTTTGACGGATGAACTTGATTCATCCCTTGACTTGTAAAGTTATGATATGTATTGTTTTGGAAAAGATCTCTGATATCAATCATGCAAAACCTTTATTTCTAATATCATTCACTGAGTATCCAAGCTCACCCTCTCTATATATACGTAGGTGATGAACAAGAAGGCGATGAGGCCTAGATGTGTTGCTGACATGTTTTGGATGTGTTGCTGACATGTTTTGGATGTGTTTGCCGACGTGTTTTGGATGTGTTTGCCGACGTGTTTTGGATTCGCATTTTTGTAGCATCTTAAAGATCATGCTTCTTAGCTTACATTTCATTGTGTTTGTATATGTCAGCTTGAGAATCCTTTTGGTCAAGATGTATTTTGTATTTCTTATTATTGTATCCAAGTTATAAAACCATGCTAAGTTGTATGTCGTTTCATTTGATCTATGCACAGCTCTTATGGACTACTTAGTTTTAAATATATTGCTTCCACACATGTAAGCCCCATATGTAATACTCTGATTGTGTGTGAATCTTGTGAGTTGGCCTTTGGTAATCTTGGATTACTGGCCATCACGACACCATTCTACTAGGGGCGGAATGGGGTCGTAATAGATTAGTATCAAAGCACGAGTTATTCGTAGTACGTTGTTCACACACTTTGAGTCCTGAAGAGCATAGGATTTCCCTTTAGAATGATTTTAGGTTTGCATCATATTGCTTACTACTTGACAATGTGTGCATCATCTCGGCATGACCATTTGTTACTTGCATACATATTACCTGTTCAGTTTGTTTTAAAGTCACATTTTACATCCTCCTAGCATCATGAGAAGAGGTAGACCTCCGGTTGGCCGAGATCATTCCGAAGATAGATTGGAAAGACTGGAAAGGTTGGTCGAAGGTTTGGTTCGTGAGCTGAGACAACCCAGGCCACAGGATACTGGTACTACTTCTACCCAGGCTGAGCAGACGAATGGCCGAAATGCGGCTCCACCTCCACCTCCACCAGTGCCGCAAGTGCCTCCACAGCAAGCTTTGTATGGGAACGACACAATAACCCTGATCAGAGAGTTCAAGAAAATGAAACCGCCGAGATTCCAAGGAGGTATAGAGCCTATGAAAGCCGAGGCATGGGTTTTGGAAATGGAGAAGTTGTTTGAAATCTTTCCCAGTACAGACGCTCAGAAGGTATCTCTGGCAGCGTTCACATTAGACGACGATGCTCGTAGATGGTGGATGATGGTCCGAGAAAGTAATCCGGGTTTGACTTGGGCCAGATTTTTGGAGTTGTTCTACAACAAACATTTCCCCCTTAGTGTTCGAGATCGAAAGACCATGGAGTTCCAGAATCTGACACAAGGGAACAAGACAGTGGCAGAATACGACCGTGCCTTTACCGAATTGGCGAGATATGCACCTCACATGGTGGATAACAAATACCGAAAGGCGAGGAAGTTCGAAAGTGGGTTACGTGGACCGATACAAGATCGGGTTAACATGCTTAATATGTCGACATACGCCGGAGTACTAGACAAGGCCATCCTGGAGAAAGCTAACTTAAACCGATACCAGAATCCAGGAGAGAGTTAGAGGAAGAGGCAGAATTATGATAATCGCCGAGTTCCGTTCAACACCAAAAAGAAGGCAAACGCGGACAGTTCCAACAACTCAAATCAGGAAGGTAATGCTAAGCCGATGTGTGCGAGTTGTGGGAAGCCACATTTTGGGGTCTTTCGTTGGGCAACAGGGGCTTGCTATGAGTGTGGCGAGATAGGTCATCGTGTGAGGGATTGCCCGAAGACAAAGGCTGATGATGGAAAGAGGAATGGAAGCACCTCGAGCTCTGCATAGAAAAACAACGTCTTAAGGATACAGACGAGGCAGGGCAGAGTTTTTGCATTAGTGCCAGGAGACACCCAGAGTGCCGAGGCAGTAGTGTCAGGTACCCTTCCAATTTGTTCTCAAGATGCATACATATTGATTGATTCGGGTTCTACGCATTCATTTGTATCTGCTATATCGCCGAGAAGTTGAATAGGGAACTAGAATCCCTTTACTATGCATTATCTGTGTCTACTCCATCTGGGAGAAATATGACTGTTGCATCCATTTATAGGGCGTGTATTGTTGTGATTGAGGATGTAGAAGTATTAGTTGATTTGATGCCGTTGAGCATAACTCACTTTGATGTCATTTTGGGAATGGATTGGTTAGTAGCAAATCGTGCATCCATTAATTGTGTCTCCAAGAGTGCCACATTGAAACCCCCAAACCAAGCTGAGATTACGTTTCAGGGTAGGGGAGTAATAGCCCCACCTTACTTGATCTCATCCATGAAAGCCTTTAAACTGATCCAAAAGGGGTGTCAAGGTTATCTGTGTAGTATACTAAGTGAATTGAATGGAAGTGTTGAGTTAGCCGACATACTGGTTGTTAAGGAATTCCCCGACGTCTTTCCGAATGACTTGCCTGGCCACTTAGTCGATAGAGGAATAGAGTTTACTGTTGACGTTATGCTGAGAACCCAGCCAATCTCTAAAACACCCTATGGAATGGCCCTAGCCGAACTTAGAGAATTGAAACTTCAATTACAGGAATTGTTGGATAAGGGATTTATTAGGCCGAGTACTTCACCATGGGGGAGCACCAGTTCTGTTTGTCAAGAAAAAGGATGGTACACTTCGTTTTTGTATCGACTACCGGGAATTGAACAAGGTAACCATTAAGAACAAGTATCCATTGCCGAGGATCGATGATTTGCTTGATCAACTACAAGGGGCACGAGTCTTTTCTAAGATTGACCTTAGGTCGGGCTACCATCAGTTGAAAGGTTAAAGCCGAGGATGTCGCGAAGACTGCTTTTCGGACAAGGTATGGCCACTACAAATTCTTAGTAATGCCTTTCGGGGTGACCAACACCCCTGCAGCATTCATGGACTTGATGAACAGAATCTTTCAGCTGTATCTAGATGAGTTTGTGGTTGTCTTCATCGATGACATACTGATCTATTCC